CTTTCCCTCTAAACGGAGAGTGTGTCTCAGAGACCACCAGGTAAGTGCCTCATTTCCCACCAAAGAAGCCTGCAAGGCTGTCTCTGGGGGCTGGCCTCGCCTCCTTCCAGAAAATGCTCTCCCAAAGTGGAGAGCAGCAGCATGTAGCGTGTGAGCCGAGCACAGGGATGCCTCTTCAGCCCCCCACACCTGGGAGACAGGTAGCACAGGTGCAACATACATCCAGGTGTCAGTGTCAACGTTGTTCTAAGCACAGAGGCTGGTAGGAAGGAAATGCCTGCTCAGTGACAGAGTCAGACGAGGTCCAACCGAATTACCTGGATCCTCCCCTCAGTCCCTTTAGTGTCTGGCCACATCAGAGTCTCAGTCACAAATACTGTTTGCCATGAATTTTTTTTTTTTTTTTTCATTTTAGTGAGCTTCTGTGGCAGGAAAACATCCTCATGCTATCCCAAGCACGTCATGCTTCTGGCTCTTTTCATGTAACAGTCCTGGGGGCCCTCTGGGTATAAACAATCATTCTCACCCTGCCCCAGGAATTAGTAGGTATGAGAACACACGGGGCTGTATTGTGAATTGGACGGAGAGAGCCATCCCCGCCTAAAGTGCTTTCTGCTTTGGGAGAGGGAGGCATCTCCAGGGCAACGGTCAGGAGCGTGCTGAGAACCGGGGTGTTCCAAGGCATCAGCCTGAGGTGTTTACACAAGTGCCTGTTAGCAAGAACTGCAGGGCAGCGGTTTTCCGGCTGACCGGCTCCCCGTCATACGCACGCCAGGTAGAAGTCACAGGATGTCTTCACACTTCACTTCCATGGAGCTTGTTTTAATTGCAAGGTTGTGATTGGCTGGTGTGGGCTCTTTAGAGCCTTTTCCACTTAATTACACCCACCCCAGCAGCTGGCACACAGACAGGACTGCCTCCTGCGTTCCTGCAGAAGTGTTTTGCCCCCAGGCACACAGCAGACCTGGACAGTTGGGAGTGACATGCGGAGGCTCACAGGCCACAGCCTGCCAGGCCTGGAGGCCTCGCCTGCTCCTTTGCTCCCTGCTTCCACACCTGGCTATGCTAGGCAGCCCTCCTCCCAGGACGTCTGGGTCCCAAGGCAACCCCTGCAGAGTGGTGCGGCATCCCGGGAGAGCACTGGCTTTGGAACGGGCCATCACCTGCTTCAAAATCTGCCTCTGCCACTAACTGGCTGTGCACTTGGACGAGTCCTTGCCCCCCCACCCCAGACCTCAATTTCTTCATGCAGACACTAGAGATGGTTTACCTCTGCCTTCCCCGCTGGGCTGTAGTGAGGATGACAGCTAATGCAAGTCACAGCGCACAGTAAGCCTCTGACAAATGGCCGCTGCTCTCCACTTGTTCCCCACTGTGAAAGCGGGTGTCACGTGGGTGATTTACTCAGTGCAGCTCTAGGCGCCGTTGACCTGCCTTGGTCCCCACCACCCTCCAAAGTGTTTGTAGACAAAGCTTGTTTGGGCTGCCCCAAGCAGGCGGGCTGAGATGCGCCATCCTATCCCCCAGACCCTCTTGCCAGGAGCACCTCCCTGGCTTCTACAAGCCAAGCTTTCCACGCAGAGGGAAGTTGTCAATCCTTTGGACATTTGCCTTCCCTCCCAGCATAGCCCTCTCTTGAGTGCTGAAGAAAGTTCTGCTCAGGGAGGGCAGGACAACCTCAGAAATTCCTCCAAGGACTCTGAAGGGCTCAGATCACCTCCACAGGCAGCCCTGTAGATTAACACTAACCCGCTCCCCTAATTTTATTGTCTATTTTGAATTTAAAGCATAAAAGTTAATGTCCATGCATTTCCAAGGTGATAAAGAGAGAAGTCCAAGGGAAAGATGCCTGCTCTAGCAGACAGAACAGGGCTCTGGGGAACAGCAGTTACCTGTCAGGGAGGGCGGATGCTGAGCACGATCGCACTGAAACCGTAAAGCTTAACACAGAGCGTGCAGCGTCACCGGGGCCATGTTAAACTGCCGTGGCAGGCAGTGTACCCTCTCCACACTGGGCTGGAAAATCAGTCCCTGGGTACCTGCAGTGCACAATGTTAAGTGGCCAGAGAAGGGCCCAGCTACCTGCGTAGGAGCCCAACCTGCCCTGTTTAGTGCCTCATCCATGTGTTCAGAGCCTGCGGGAACTCTGGTCCCTGGTCCTCCAAGAGGCTGGGATAAAGAAACCCGAACACGAGCAGATGCTTTAAGAGCTTGGGGCAAGGGGGATGGGATGGAGCCTGAGGGAAGGAGATTGATATTGTCTTCTTGGAGCCCATAAGAATATTTATAGACCCTGTTCAGTCAGTAAATATTTATTAAGCACCTGCTATGGGCTAGGCCGGGTCTGCGCTCTCCAGTCCAGTGGAAATAAGGACTGGGAAACAGGCAGGTACGAACCCAGAGCTCCAAAGCTAAGGACGCTGGACCCAGACCTGGGCTCTCAGGGGCTGCCCGCGGGCACAGAAGCTCAGCTGGGAGCAGGCTGAATGGGGTGCTCGGGGAAGGTGGGGAGAGGAGCACAGGCTTGCAGGGAGGTAGAGGAGGGCTGGGGGGTGGGAAATGGGAGAGTAGTTCTGTGCTTCGGGGCCTGGAGAGGGGGTGTGGGAAGGGACTGGAGACATAACTCAGGACCAGACCCTGGAAGCCTGGTGCCATGTTAAGGAGGCAGGTGGTTCCCTTCGGGGAATGGGAAGTCAGAGAAGGTGTGAAGCAGGGAAGTGCTGGGGTGAAATGGGGGTAGATGAGCAGATCTGAGAGTGTTCTGCAGGCCTGCTCCATTTTGTGGAGCATGCCTAGGAGTCCGGGACATCTGAACCCAGCTGAGGGCGCCACCGGGTCTTGGCGGGTGCGGGACCCTCCAGGCCTCCGGTTCCTTAGCGGTACAGTGAGAGGGTAGAACAGATGGTCTCAGAGCTC